TTTTTCTGTTTGGGGGTTCTTTTTTCTGTTCTATTCTGTTCTTTTTGTTTTTTTCATCTCTTTACTATCCCATTATTTTTTCTCTTATTTCTTTATTTCTAACACAACAAATACTTGTACACAAGCGCACAAACCCACACATGCTCATATTCCATACATCCAAATACTTAACAATAAAACATATGCTTAATTTAACTTCAAACACATCACATACATTTTTATATATCTTACATGCTACATAGGTATTCTCAAACTCTTGACTAATCATCACTCACTGTCAATGACTGTCCCTGAGTGTCCCTACTGTTATGAAAATGGGCGTGGTTTAATTTTATTCTCACAAATACTGCGATGGGTTGTTTAAGGTTTCTCACATGGAATATAAACGGAGCCGGTACCCAACAGAAAAGATATAGAATTTTCAACCGGTTTAAAAGATTAAAGGCAGGTGTTGTATTACTACAAGAAATTCATAAATTAAAGTGTAACTTACCCCCCCTGTGAAAAGATAACTCCGCCCCAAGGCGAAATTTGAAAAATGCATCAAAGTGGGTAGGGGAAGGGGGGTTAGGGAGCAGAGGTGTGGCCAGGACGAGAGAACGTGACAGGCAGCTAGCATTAGCATAATTGATGCTACATGGAAAGTGACCACAGTATCGCAGACAGTTACATCTCTGAACGTCTGAGGTGGAGGATTTTCACCCCACACCAGCCTCGGACAGAGGAGGTGGAGCGCTCCGACAGCCTGACAGAAAAAAATAAAAGCATACAACTGCTCACGGTCGCTAGTTTAAATCAGGAATAAAAGTAGTTTACCTGTATTAAGAGCCCTAAAAATCCATAAATTTTGCAGAAAATCCTTACAACTTGCACCCGCGGGGGGTGGGGGGTGGGGGTGACATAAAAGTGCCTGCTGCGAAGCAGGAGGAAAGGAGAGAGGAAAAAGTAACTTATTTCTAGCGGCAGAACAGGTTGGAAGATCAAAAGGAAAAAAATTGTATAGGTCCTCTGGACGGGTTCTTCTCTAATGAAATGTTTCGTCTCTCTTCCAAGAGACTTCTTCAGTCTGAGAGTTTCAGGCAAAATTCAGGCTTTTGAGACCTGCCTCCATGTGACTGATACTCACATCACATGGCTATCGCTCACAGGTGACTCACATCACATGGCTATCGTTCACAGGTGACTGATACTCACATCACATGGCTATCGTTCACAGGTGACT